GGAAGGAGAGCCCCGTGGTGGGGAAGAGACAGAGCTGTGATTACCCATCCCCGAGAAGGTGCTGTGTCCATCCCCTGTGTGCCAGGTGAGTTGGGGCTTTGCTGCAGAGCTGCAGGCGCTGATTTGAGCGGCTGCAAGTGCTGAGATGGTGGGCACCCAGGAACACAAACTGTGCCTGGCCACGGAGCCTGCAAGGAGGAGCAGAGACAGCCCTGGCAGTGTGGGGGGCCAGGTTGTCCCTGTGCCTTCCCCTGCAGGCCCTGGCTGTCCCTGCTGGGCCCCTGTCCATCCCCATCAGGTCCCTGCCCGTCCCCCCCGGGCTGAGCTCCCCCCAGGAAGTGCCGTGGAGCTGAAGCTGCTGCCATCCCCCCCTGCAGCCGCTGCCCCAGCCAAGGGAGCAGCAAAGGCAGGGCCAGGAGCAGTGGCAGCAGCAGGGGAGCCCTGGGGGGACCGGGAAGCTCTTGTGTGGGTCAGGAAAGAGGCGCTGGGCACGAGGCCGGGGCTGTGCTGAGCAGGCCCAGCCCTCACATCCCCCCAGCCAACGCCGGCTGCCCGGGGGGCTTGGGAGGGACCCCCATCCCGTGTGCCCCACACTGAGCTGGCAGAGAGAGAGCCAAGGGACAGGGCCACGGGCAGGGCCACGGGTGAGGGACAGGCAGGGCCATTGCAGGGCCACGGTGAGGGCACAGCCTGTGGCAGCAGAGCTGCCCAGGGCCGGGGGCAGCCGGGGCTGTTGGGACCAGGCAGTGGTGGGGCCGAGCAGAGCACGAGGCCTCTTGCAGACCCCTGGAGCAGCCTCCCACTTGCCAGCCCCACCCTGGTGGGGTGACACTGTCCCCTCCCTACAGGACACTCCCCCCGAAATCTTTGGGGGGGCCTTTTGTGTCTATTGCTGGTTGCTGATTCCTGCTGGGGACCTGAGGGAGCCTCTGCAATCCCATCCATGGGGCACAATCTCCTCTGCAGAGCTTGACTCCCTGCAGACTTTGCAGGGAAATCTGTGCTGGCAGCCCGAGTATGTCCTGACCCCCCACGCTCCCCCCAGGATATTTGGGATGAGTTCCCCCTTCCCAGGCACCCGCGGGATGGGGGTGCGATTGTTCTCCTGCTGTTGCTGCTCCGCCCCTGTCCCTGCCCTTCCTGCTGCTGCCAGGTGAGCGGAGCAGCCACGATGGGAAAGGGGTGAGAGAAGCGAAAAGAGTGGGTGGGACCCCAAAGGGAGCGTGAGGGGCGGTGAGTCACCCCCAAAAGGAGCTGGGGAGAGCTGAGGTTTTGAGAGCCAATGGGAAAGGAGTGGGAGAGGGGTGTAACAGGAGTGGGAGACAGTGGGAGCGGGGTTGCCGTGGGGGTCCTTCCATGTGCCCATGCCTTGATGCCTGAAGAGCGGGCGAGGCTGCAGAGAGGGGGAAGCTGCGAGAGCCCCCAGAGCCTGGAGAGGGGGGAGCTCGAGCCCCCTATGCCAAGCCAGCAGTTGGGGCCATGCTGTTGATGCCAAATTGCCCCTGGTCAGGCTGAACCCAGAGTCCGCCCACGTCAGGGGGCCTGATCCGCTCCCTGCTCTCATTGCCCTGGGGCAGCCTGTGGTGTCCCCCCACCTGTGGGGCTGTTTGGTTGCCTTGGGCACAGCCGGCCCCTGTGCAAGGCTGTGCCCCTGGGGGCTCTTGGGGGTGGGTGGGAGGTGTTTTTTGGGGGTGCTGGGCTGGGTTGGGGGCAGAGCCCCTGTGGTGGGCGGGGGGATGCGGGTCCCCCCCTGCAGTGGTGGTTGGTGTTGCTGGGTCAGACCCCGCCAGCTCCATTGTCAGCCTGGTGTCGGCAGGAGGGACACAGCGGTTTTGGGGCCCCCTGGGAGTGCTGGGGGTGGGTGTGGAGCCTGGGAGCTGTCGAGTGTGGAGGGTAGAGCGGGGCGATGCTGGAGCTGGGGGATCCCCTGCAGCCTGGAGCGGGGAGCACGGAGAGGGAGGAGCCCTGGGAGCCAGAGAGAAGGGGAAGCCTGGACAGTGGGGCCTCCTGGGATCCCCAGGACAATGAAGTCAAGAACCTGGAGAGGGGGAATGTCTGGGAATGCGGCACCCCGAAGGCGAGAGTCAGAGGAGAGGGACCCTTGGGACCCCCAACACTCCCAGCATCCCTAAGTGGGACCCCCAGCATCCCAGACAGGAGAGACCCTCCGAACTCCAGAGGGGAGAGACCAGAGAGGGGGAACTTCTGAGAGAGATTTTTTTTGACTAATCTTCATATTTTGGAGTATATTTCATCTGAATCTCAAATTTTTGCAGTTTGAGGGTGTGGGGGTCTTCTTCCTATTTCTGAGGGGGTTTTCCCCTGAATCTCAGTGCTTTGGGTTTTTCTGGGTTGAATCTTGGTGTTTTGGAGGTTTTTATGGGCACAGGATGCCCGGTGAGTTCTAGAGATGGACTTGGGCAGGAGGAACCCCCAAGCCAACACACTCAGCCCTTGTTTTCCCCCCATCAGGATTTCTCCTTCCCAGAGTTTGGGCAGATGGAGGAGGAGGCTGTGGGGAAGAGGAAGATGCTGCGCGGACCCCAGGCAGGTGAGGAGGAAGTCAGTGCCCCTTTCCCCTGGTCTTGTGCTGGCTCTGTCAGCCGAGCATGGCCCTGGTGGCAGGACAACACCACTGCCACTGCTGTCCTGCTGGGGCCAGAGTTGGGGGCACGTTCTTGGCCTTCCCTGTGGGCCGGAGGCAAATCCCCTCCCTGTCCTTCTTGCTTCCTGCCCCAGGCCCCAAGCTGAGGACGGAGAGCGCGGAGGACAAATCCCCCCGTGAGACCCTGGTGGGAGAGGCCGTTTTGAAGGGCTCCACGGTGCAGGAAGGCAGTGAGGAGGAAAAAGCCAGGATATCTCCCCAGAGGAGGGGCTCCAAAGCCGGCTCAGGGTGCTCCCAGGAGGAAAGACTCAGCCCGTGCCGGGAAGGCGGCCGGAGCTTGAGCCAGAGCTCCAACCTGGTGGTCCCTGAGCAGCCTCCCAGCAGGGAGAAGCCCTTCAAATGCTTGGAATGTGGGAAGAGCTTCAGTCAGAGCTCCAACCTCCTCACCCACCAGCACATCCACACTGGGGAACTGCCCTACACGTGTGGGGAGTGTGGGATGAGCTTCAGGAAGAGCTCCACCCTCTGCACCCACCGTCGCATCCACACCGGGGAACGGCCCTACACATGTGGGGAATGTGGGAAGAGCTTCAGTAACAGTGGCAACCTCCTCACCCACCAGCGTATCCACACGGGCGACCTGCCCTACTCGTGTAGGGAATGTGGGAAGAGCTTTAACCAGAGGTCCAACCTTCTCACCCACGAGCGCATCCACACTGGGGAATGTCCCTACACATGTGGGGAATGTGGGAAGAGCTTCAGGAACAGTGGCAACCTCCGCAAACACCAGCGCATCCACACCGGAGAGCGACCTTACACGTGTGGGGAATGTGGAAAGAGCTTCACTGACAGCTCCAGCCTCCACATCCACGAACGCATCCACACTGGGGAGAGGCCCTACTCATGTGGGGAGTGTGGGAAGAGCTTCACCAACAGCTCCCACCTCCACGCCCACCAGCGCTCCCACCTCCCCAACCACACTGTGGAACGGCCCTACAAGTGCTGGCAATGTGGGGACAGGTTTCAGACCAGCTCAATTCTCCTCGAGCATGAGCGGACGCACACAGATGAGAGGCCCTTCCGCTGCACTGACTGCGGGAAGGAGTTCAAACGCAACTCCCACCTTGTAACCCACCGGCAGCGCATCCACGCCGAGGAGAGGCCCTACAAGTGTGGGGAGTGCGGGAAGAGCTACATCCAGAGGTCTCGCTTGACCAGACACCAACAGACCCACCAGTAAGGAAGCCCTATTAGTGCCCTGACTGCGGGAAATGCTTTGGCCACTGCTTCCACCCTGAATGAACCCCCTGATACTGAGGCAACCCCTGGAGTCCAATGACTGTCAGTCCATCCCTTTCGACCACAAAGGGCCAGTCCCCTTTCACAGGGACAGGTTCTTCCAACAGAACCCTTCTTGAAGGGGTGTGGAGGTTCCTGCCTTGGCTGGGGACCCCTCAAGGTCACTCCTGGAGGTTGAGAACAGAGATCTCCCATGAGCGTTGGTCTGAGGGAGTTACATCCATTTGTAATTAAGAATTACTTTTGTGCCAGCTTTAGTAGAATTGCTTCAACGATTGCTTTAGGGTAGATCATCGCTCTATCTTATCCTGTACTCCTGGTAGTTTTAGTGTTTATACTGTGCAGTAAGTAATTCTGATGAAGATCTTTTGTCTGATTATTTGGTGCCCTAAATAATTCCTTTCTATCAGTAGATCTGATTTGCCATCATTAAAACCTGGGGGACAAAAGTGGTTCAGTCACACCTCAGTAATTCCTCTAAACTGAAACTGTTGGCATAATCCAAGGCTGAGGTATGATCCAGCAGCCCCCAGCACCCCCCAGTAAGTTGGGAGCTCAGGGGGGCCACCCCCCTTTCCCAACCCCCTTGTGCCCAAAGACCCCCATGGGACCATCTGACCCACCAGACCACCCTTCCTTTTCCACCCTTCTCCCTGTTCCTTCCACTTTTTCATGGTCCCCTCAATCCCCAGTTTCTCCCCCGAAGAGTTTTGGGGTCCCAACCCCCACTTTTTGCCCCCTCTCCTGTGGGTGCTGAAGGAGAAAATGAGGCTGCACACACAGAGTTCTATTTTAGGACTTGTCCGCCGACACTTTTCAGTGTCCCCTTTTATTCCTCTTCTCTTGTGAGCAGCACCCGGTGTTTGTCTTTCAGTCCACCGGAAATCCCAGGATCGCCCTAAAGCAGTGCCCTGAATCCCACACATTCCCCTTGCCTCATGTGCTGGCTCTGTTCAACCACCAGAGAAAAACACAGGCTGCCATGCAGAGCGTTCCAAGTGGTTTCCACTTGGCAAACAGCACTCTCTTGACCGAAAACACCAGTCAAGGCCAAAGCACTCCTTGTTGATCCTGATTAACTGAATGCAGCTGCCTTAACTTGTTTCCACAAAAACTCTCAGGGTTCCTTTGCTTCCAGGAGGCCCCACATGTCCCAATGGCCCCTTGATTCCATGGAGTTCCAAACTGTCTCAGGAATCCTTCAGTTCCATGAGGCCCTGCATATCCCAGTGCCCCCTTGGTTCCATGAGGATGCACAGTCTCAGAATTCCTTGGCTTCAATGAGGCTTTGTAGTGTCCCAATGGCCCCTTGGTTCCATGAGGCCCTGCATTGTCCTAATGGCCTCTTGATTCCACAAGGTTTTGCAGTGTCCCAGTGTTCCTTTTGTTCCATGAGGATCCTCTGTGTAACAGGGTCCCTTTGGGGCCATAAGGCCTGTAAGGGAGATATTTTGAATTAGATGATCAATGGAGCATAGAGGCATAAGAAAGAAATTATATTATGATGTGAAACCAGCCAGAGTATTGTACAATGTGCTTTTTAGCAAGTCACCTTGATATCCCCTATTATCAGAGCTGAGTTCTTCCTTGGTTTTGCTACATACTGCAAGATGGATACATCTACCCTTGAAACACAATGGTAGAGGTCATACATAGGGGTGAGAAAGATGATGGAAGATTATGTGGGCAGGGGTCGCTGGCCCCTTGCCCTGCAGCAGGGCATGCACAGACTGCTGCTATCAGCTGATGAACAGGCAGGGTTTGGCTGCCACTCAGGCATCACCTTATATTGGGTACTGGCCCTACGTGGTGTAATGTGGAGCTGATGAAATGGGGTGTCAGGACTGCTGGGGTGAGTGATCCTCATCCTGCCATGGAGACTGTGCTGTTCCATGGGGACGCCCGCTAAGCACGGGCACTGATCAGCTGCTGCAGATCCTGGCAGCCCTGGCCTGTCTGTGTGGGTAAGCACAGTTTATTGATAGGAAGCAACCGAGAAAGCAAATTTTTTAATATCCTTTTAGTGTCCCTTTAATTCTCCTTTTATTGATTAATATTGTTACATAAATAAGCTGTCTGTTGTATTTCTCTTTAATTTCCTTTTTTACTAACCAGTATCATGTTAATAGTTATCCGTAATATTGTGTTAAGATCCTTTTTTGGTATCTCTTTAACTCCCTTTTTACTAGATAATACTATATTAAATGCTGTTCACAGTATTTGTTTTAATGCCACCCGATAAGGTAGTTATTTTGTATTCTTTTTAGTTTTTTGATTCTCTTTACTAAGATTATTATTTTTATTACTCTCACTGTAATAAAAGATATTTTGTGTGTTTGAATGTCTGTTGTACTTGTCTTTATTCCGGGCATGTATCCCAACAAACTGTTACAGTATCTGACACTGTGTGACCGTGCAGGGGGAGGACTCAGCCCAGGGGGGTTGTGTTGCAGAGCCAGGGCCTGTGGAAGGCATTGAAAACATGCAAGTTCCAGTGAGAGGAGGCTGCTCTGTGCCCTTGGTGGCACGAACAGAGCAGGAAGGTGGCCCAGGACAGTTTTCCCCCCCAGCCTCTCTCCCCAGCCATTGCCAGCACTGGCTGCTCAATCCAGGGTTAGGGGTGAGTTTTGCTGTGCCCCCCTCCATCCTCCTGCTGGGCTCAGGGCCTGTGCCAGGGCCGTGGTCAGCCCTGCCCGGCCTCTCTGCTGGCCCAGAGCCTGGCAGAGCCTGGAGCAGGGCTGTCTGTGAGGCCCCACAGGGGACACGGCCTGTCCAGGAGCTTGGAGAGGGGCTGAACAGGAAGGCCCTGGGTGCCCAAGGCCAAGGACTGCCCTGGGCATCCCGTCAGAGGGGCCCTTCCCCACCCTGAGTGCTCCTGTGCTGGGCTGGGCCTGCCCAGGGGGCTGTGGGACCAGCTTGGAGGCAGCGGGGCACAAAGGGGCCATGGAGCTGCTGCCAGGGAGTGACAGCAAGGCCAGGGACAGACAAGGGATTGCTGGGCATGGCCTGGGCTGTGCAGGGGCACTGTGGGAAAGGCAAAGCTCCCCTGCAGTTGGGAGCAGCAGGAAAAGTCCAGAGCCCAAAGAGCCTCAAGGGCTGTGTTGGACACCAAGGCTGCAGGAGGGAAATGCAGGGCTGCTGTGCAATGGGGAGGGGGGTTTAATTGCAGCAGACACTGATGTGATGCTGAGGGACTCCATGGCTTCTCTGCCTGAGTCTTTCCTGGAAAGGTCTCTCAGACCTCTGGGCTCAGGGAAGGGCTTCAGGGAGGAGGAGAACACGTCTGGGCAGGAAACTACTGAAATCCCTGAGGGACAAATGGCAGTGTCTGCCCCTGCAGGGGACTCAGCCTGGCCATGGCACAGGCTGGAGCTGCCGGGCTGGGAGCAGCCCTGTCAGAAACTGTGGGTGGGCAGGGAGCTGGGCAGGAGGCAGGCGTGTGCCCTGGCAGCAAGGGAGGCCAGGAGCACCCTGGGCTGTGGCACCAGGACATCAAGGACGGGCATTCTCCAGCTCACTGTGACTGAGGAAAACTGAGGAAAGAGTTGGGATGTTTATAAATTGTATTGAGTTTACTTTTTGTTTTTGGGCAATGAAGAGAAACTTTCT